TCATTCTATTTGCATACGTAAATACAAAATGCATGAGGCAAACGTTAATGATATTTCATGGTGCTTTTCCTTGATGTGTACTCAAAAGCATGGATCTGATTATTTTGTTACTGTTGCTATTTGAAAGGGAAAAATAGTATCCACAATCATATCATTTTTGATGCGCTATATGTATACTTCAAGACAATTCCAACCACCTATTCAGGAGAAATTGTCACATGAATTCAATGGGATTTCATCCCAGTTAGGGCTGCAGGACCACACTCTTTATGATAAAAATAAATGAAAAATGGTACACCTTTAATGTACTAGTCTCCTGAAATTACTAAATCAGAGGATTTGGATTTAGTTTTAGAAAATTAGGTTTGAAGAAATAGTTTAAAATTTGTGATAGCGGATAGGGGCAGCACAGAAAGAGGAAGGGAAACGGTACCCAATCCATCCTGTTTTGCATGAGAGAGGAAACTCAAGAAAAAAATATACACAGTAAAACAGAAGGCACCTGCTTCTTTTATTTTGCTTATATTGCAAAGCTTCTTTTCTCCCCGGCATAAGATTGCAAAATTCATCCAAAAAGCATTTCCATTTTTTAAATTTAATTGATTAGAAAGGATCAAAAACCTCACCGTGAGTTGGGCAGCCATATAAATTGCTTTAATAAACAAACAAACAAACGGCTACAAAAAGAAACTCATGTCCATAATGTATGTTTCATTCAGGTGCAACACAGGAGTATATCTGGGAAATCCCAATGAGATCTGGTCCTGAGGAAGGGGATTCTGCTTGTATTCCCTGGGCATATTATTCCACTGTGGATAGAGTTAAGGTAAACTCATAGTGACTGCGGTCAAAGTTCTCCTCTTTTCTGGGCAGATAATATTTCTAAAGCAGCTCAGGTACATTAACAAATACAACATTCTGTAATTTTGTAGTAACTGGAAGAATGACAAAGGGAGCTAGACTGGCCTTGTACATCTCATTGATTCTGCAGTGGAAATGTTTCTTTTTTTTTAAAGGAGAGATAGGGACTCTGCTGATGACTCTATTCTGATAGCTGAAAATGTAAATGATCTGCAAGCTGTAATAATGCAAGCCAAGGTGCACAGTGAAAAAATAGGACTACAGTTAGAGATCAAACTAATGACATCAGGTATAGTAACTGACCTTAGAAATAAATCCAGAGTGCTCACTCGGGGTACAATGACTAGGCTCAAATGATCATATCTAGCTCCCTTGAGAAGTCCTTTATGCTGAGAAAAGTGGAAGGAAAGAGGACAACCAGTGTCAAGGTGGATGGACTCAATTACAGTGGTAATAGGTACACCATTAGGACCTCTGAAGGGCATGGTTGGGGATAAGAGAAAGTCTATCTATGTGGTTGCTGAAAGTCGACACCCATTGATGGCACATAATCAATCAGGGATTCTGTGGGTGTTTAGAAATTGTTGGACTGCATCATTCTTCACTACTAGCCATGGTTGTTGGGACAGTTCACAACCAGAGTTTACCAAGCGTCTAGGGAAATACTGGTTCTGCTGTTTGTGAGAGAACTCTTACTTTGGAATCTACATTTGGTAATCAAATATACTCGAACTTTTTAGGAGGCAGAATGAACTGTCACAAATTACGTTGGCAAAAAGCAACCCTAATTTATATTTAAAATGAATGTTAAAAGGTTGGATCCAAAGTCAATCACATATAGGTTCCCTAAAATCAATGAGAACCTCTGTGTGTGTGTATGCATGTGTGTGACTATTTAATCATTGCCTTTTTCTCAGATACAAAGTTTTATGGTTTGCCCTAGGCTCCTTATAAAGGACCAATGCTTCCTCAGATATTAACCACTTCCTTTCATGCATACTGCCCTAGTGATGATACTAGGTGATTATTTTTATTTCTGGTTTCAGGACATCAATAGTGGATTAATAGGGACACTTGTTGTCTGTCGCAAGGAAGTTAATCGTGTAATTCCAGAGTCCAAAATTCTGCAGTTTGCTCTTCTTTTTATGGTGATTGATGAAAATGAATCCTGGTACTTGGATGAAAATATCAAGATATATTCTGCCAATCCAGGAGATGTAAACAAGGAAGATGAGGAATTCATTGAAAGCAATAAAATGCACGGTAAGCTTGTATATGGAATTTCAGTATTTTGGAATGACAGTTATCTCACATCAGTTAAAGTGGCATTGTATAATGCATGAATGGGCAGAAATGCTTTTTCATGTCTTGTTTCACACACACACCTTTAGCAGAGGAAAGCTGCAGTATTTGTAAGATTGTGATACAGAACAGATAGATTGATCCTGTTGAGCCTGAGGAAGTGGACAGGGTTCTTGTTGCTGTTAGTTCAGCCATCTCTGTAATAGATCCATGCCCCTCCTGGCTGGTCAAGCCTGCCTGGGAAAGGATATGTGACTGGGTCTGGGAGGTGGTTAATTCTTCTTTGAAGGAGGGGGTAGTTCCACTGGCTTTTAAGGACACGGTGGTATGCCCCCTTCTCAAGGGGCCATCACTCAACCCAACCACTCTAGACAGTTTTTGTCCAATTTCTAACCTTCCCTTTTTAGGGAAGGTTGCAGAGAAAATGGTTGCACTGCAGCTTCAAAGGACTCTGGATGGAACAGCTTATCTAGACCCATTTTAGTCAGGATTCAGGCTGGAGTATGGGATGGAGATGGCACTGATCATGCTCTTGGATGACCTCTGGTGGGATGGGGTAGTGCATCCATTCTAGCTCTTCTTGACCTCTGAGTGGCTTTCAATATCATTGATCATGGTAACCTTCTGGACTGGGTCTGGAAGTTGGGGGTGGGCTGCTATGTATTTTTAATTTTTTACTGTAATTTTTTTATTTTTAAAATTTTGTTCACCACCCAAAGTGACTTGGTGAGCTGGGTGGCCATACAAATTGAATGAATGAATGAATGAATGAATATCTTAAGGTAGTCCTTTCCTCTCTCCTACAAAAAGCAACTTAACAAACAGGTCCTGCCAACTTTGCTCCATTGGCAACTGAGGTGCACATAAACATTTTGGTGCCAACTATACTAATCTCAGCCTGTTAGCATCAGAGGCATAATTGTGCAATTTAATATAGTAAGGATAAAGCATTGATTCTTGAATGCACATCATGAGGATTGTCCAAGGCCAATAGAGGGACTACCTTAGATAGCTCCAATCTCTGAGCTCAATTTGAGTTAGCAGACCACCAGTAATTCTCTTGGGCAATTATCTTTGTTAAGCTTCTGATGAGGTTTGGTGTTTGTACTAAATTTATTAGACAGACAGGAAGCTCAATAACTGGACAATCAACAGAACTTTTATAACAAATATTTCTTTCCTTAGCCATTAATGGAAGAGTGTTTGGAAACTTGAATGGTCTTACAATGCATATTGGAGATAAAGTAAACTGGTACTTGTTAGGAATGGGGAATGAAGTCGATATGCACACAGCACATTTCCATGGCCATAGCTTCAATTACAAGGTAAAAAAAAAAAAGAATTGTATTCTTATTTTTAAAGATAAAATAAAAAGAAGGTACATATTTAGTTAACAGGAAAGCAGTGCACAGGATCAACTGAACACAAAAAACTTTGTGAAGTCAGATAACTTAGCCTAAGTCTGCCCATTTTGGCTGCCCATAGCTTTAAGTTTCCAGCTAGAGAACTGACTGGGAATTGAAGCCAGGACTTTTTCCCTTAATTATACATTTCTCTCTACTCCCTTAGTGATTTTCGCAGAGGAGCAAAACATAGTCTATTTCATTTGCCTGGAAAGGATGTATGATTTTAGTAAGTGCCCTAACATCCATAGGTTTACATCCTTGCAAATCTGGAAATTGTTACAGGCCAGGCCTTTGTACACTGATTCAGTTGAAAGCAACTTTTGACAAATGGATGAAAAATAGCAACAGGGCCACAGTCCACTCTAGTATTCTCCCAACAACTGCTTCATCTGCAGTGTTATTCCTCCCTTGAGGACAGAACAGGTTTTACTTTGGTCCACTTTCAACTGTCTAACATTAATAGGCTTTAAGCTGTAATTGAAGATCCATAATCATAAATGTTTAGTTCAAGTGTTTTTTTTCCAGTTTTCTTAAGTTAGAAAGTGCTTATATGTTAAGATATTTAAAATTTTATGATGCTCTCTATTCATTTTATTGCATTCTTCCAATTAATTAATATTAGAAGAATTACACAAATATATGGTGGTTGTTTTTTCTCTCCAAAAGTACAATAGAACTTTCCGGGGAGATGTCTATGATCTTTTCCCTGGGACGTTTCAAACTGTTGAAATGTCTCCAAAATATCCTGGGACCTGGCTACTGCATTGCCATGTGACTGACCACATCCATGCTGGCATGGAAACGACTTACTCTGTGCTCCCAAATCAAAGGTAAATGTTAATTTGCTTCAAAGGAAGGAGAAAAACTCTGACATGCAACAGGTTTTTCCACCATGATTCAGGCTTTGAAATTCATCTCCTAGAATCTCTATGTTGTTCAGCCAATGTTGTGCCAGACAGGTACTTTGAGGGTTGGTCTAAGACATCAAGGTGGCTAGGAAAAGTTGACTCATAAGATGGCCAATGACAGAAACCGTAATTTTATTTATCTCACTTTTTTTCTAGACTCCCTGAATTTTATTCCCCATGCCAAGCTATGGAATCAAATGGGGCTTTAACTTGTGGGTCTCTAGTCCAAGTCCAACACTTTAACCATTAATCACTTTAACCCTCACCTCTCTAATGAAGGTGTATGTTTATTGTTTCCATTGGCATTCTGGAATGGAGTGTAACTCTGAAAATAAGCAATACAAATCTAGTACTCCAGCATTAAGCTCACTAGTTAAACTGGTGCCTGCAAATGAATAGATGTCTTCTCTCTGGGCCTATCCACGAAACCAGGTTTCAGAGACTATACCATATGTATGAAACCCGGTATTCACCAGGAGTTTTGGACTACAGCTGTTATAGTTCTTAGCCATGCTCACTGGGTTTTATGGGATAAAGTATTTGGAATATACCAGTTTGCCTAGTTTTAGCATAGACAATTGCTTTTAGAGCAGCTAGTTTCTTAGAATCTAGCCCTTGCAATATGAATTAAAAGGGGAAAAATTAAGAACCATACCTACTTTTGACTATATTAAGCATATTAAAGTATGTATTAACTAAAACTAAATGTTCTTTTGAAAGCCCATTAAACTTCACTTTCTATCCTTTACAGCAGTGACATCAGACAAACGACAGTATGAGCTTCAGCTGAAATATCAAATTGGAAAAATGATTCTATGGTGATAAGATGAGCTATGCGATTCCAAGTACTGACAGATTTTTAAAATCCCTGATCATGATTAAAATAAAACTAGTAGAATGCTTTTGTATGCAATGTCTATCTTAGTTATGATCGGTAGGGATTTTAATTTTCTAGAAAGGCCTATTCTATTTCTAATTTCACAACTTTTCTGTTAGCTTTCTAGCTCAATTAGTTTTCTGTTAAAAAAAATTAAACTAGCCTTGAAGATTCTTCAGATGTTAATATAAATATGACAAAATGAGGTCTGAGTCGTATTATAACTGCAGAGATGGGAGAAATTAAAGGCAGATAATGTAACAACCTTTGTAATTATTAATGTTGGGACTTTGTGATACTTGGTAGGCCAACTTTATAAATTGCCTCCATAATCTGGTTTCAGATCTAATTCAGTTATAGAAATTACCCGAAGAAACTCATTGTTTGAAGCACAAATAGGCTGCATGGAGCCAATCTGCTGAAACTTCTGGATCTTGTTACAATTCTTGTGGAATTGCTCTTGTTTCTCTGCCCCAGCAGCCGTAAGAAACAAATATTCCTACCGAATTCTAATAAGTTAAACATTACAAATGTTGCTTAGAAAAAAAAATCTGAATGACAATCACACTAAATATTTACTTGGAAAGAATACCTAGGCCCCATCGCAACTATGTGATTTCTGTTCAGCTCAAATGTACCACCAGCAGTTTAGAGTGGTGAAACTTTTCTAAAGCAGCAGGGATAAGATGACGACCCTTATCAAAGGTGCTATGACTGAGGGAGAACAGGGGTGAAAGCTTTGGCCCAGCTATCACTTGTTTGAGGGACAAGATTTACTTTTATACAGGCTTAATGCACCTATTCCACTTTGTCTCTTACCAAAATAATCTAGAGTCATTGCTGCTTTTTTGCAGTGCTGTTTGGGAAGCTTCAAAGTTAATAAGGAACAGGCTGGAAGGGTGTGTGTGTGTGTGTGCGTGCGTGCAGATGACGTCTCCTCTATCTGTTTAGCTGTACTGCTACCCCAGATCAGACGACAGCAATTAAACCCTCCTTTTCCCACATACATGGGAATATGCCAGGAGTGTGCAGTATTTCAAGCTTTAAGTTGGTAGTTGAACTATGAGGTTGTGTTCATTTGAGTACTTTGCTCCCTACGAGACCAATCCAAGATAGCGGATTCTTCTTACGCTTACGCTTAGGTCACCAATCTTCTGCTGCACCGAAGCAAGTGTGGCAAGAAGAATGCTGCATTTCCATCTTCAGGTAAAACATTAAGGAAGTCTCTCAAGTCCAGTGCCATGGCAATGACAGATAATGTTTCTGGATAAAAAAAAAGATACAAACACTGTGTTTAAAACTCCTGAGTATCTCCACCAATTCTTAATGTACGTAAGCAAACACTGCTCCTTTAAGATTGTTGCTTTGTGCAAAAATCTGTGCATCTAACAAAAATGTGTGATCTGCACTGAATCCAGTTTTTCAATTTAGTCACTAAAGTGTAAACACTCCACGACATCCACCTGAGAGTGAAAGGCTATTCTATGTACTGCAAAACCTCGACATTTCTGCTATTCTATAAAGACACATTTTCTTACCTCGCAGAGATGTCAGAAATACAAGGTAGTTATCACCAACATGTCTAGTTCGTTTGCAGAGTTCAGGAAGAAGTTTGTTCCACCATAAAGCCTAAACCAGTCAGAAAACAAGATCCAGAGAGAAAATCAAGAGAGTTATGGCTGAAGGAATCCAACTTTTCTGCTGTTGCTGCTGCTTATAGTTACTTATACAAGCATGGCAGTGGGCATGTTAAATAGCAAACCTTTAAATATGCCAGACTTTCTGTTCCTGTTTTCAAGATGTGATTTGTTCAGGAGAGGTTCAACATCTATCAACCAATGAAGTAGGGTGTGAGCTCCCTCTAGTGCCATTCAAAGGAGAGTACAGGTCAAGGGAGCTACCTCCAATGGCCTGTGTGAACCCCCGCACATTCAATTTCTGAATATTATTTATGAAAAACAGCAAAATAAAAATAATAAACAAAAGCCAAAGAAACATTCTACATAAAAGGTGAGTTACAGGGTGGCACAGTGGTAAAACTAGGATTGCGGAGACACAAATTCAAATCCCTGCTAAGTATGAAACTCACTGGGTGAAGTCAGGGTAGTTATTCTGAGGTCCTGAAAAGACAGTGTATATATAAATGGAATAAATAAAATTATATTGCCCCACTTTAATTCTAGAGCTAAAAATGTCAGTGGGCGTTGCCTAGACTAGCCTTTTCCAATCTGATGGCCTGCTGGCTCTGCTGGCAAAAAACTTTTGACTATGGACTCAAAGCAACTGAGGTTGGGCAAGGCTGGACCATACAAGTCTTCCTGCTGATTCTTAAAATGCACATACAGGATTAGTATTCCAATATATTTCCAAACACATACTTGTATGACCTATCTTCAGCATAACCTACATATGTAGTTACTGTTAAGATACTGTTGCACAAGTGATACCACCAGCAAGTATCAGGACATAGGTTATATTCCAGGAGAACATGATTACTTTACAGTATAAAATATGATAAATGTCTGGCTGGGGAAACTGCACTGAGAAAACAATAAAAAAATATTTTATAGTCTTCAAGATTTTGCACCATGTGTTCTGGTAAGTATGCCAATTTCACCTTCCTAACAAAACAGACCTTTAGCACTTCTCACGTTCAGTCTAACGGGCTAACTTTGCTCAGAGTTTTAAAACCATTGACTAGATATGGTAGATAACATATGAGGAACTGATGTACTAAAATTATCCTGTATTAAACTGCAATGGTTTGGATTTTAGGAGAATGCTGGGGGGGCGGGGAGGGGGAGAATGAAAGATAGCTATGATTATTTATGCTTACCTGATGTTCATCCTTCAGCTCATGCTGGGCATAAGGTATGACTGCTTCAGGGCACATGTCCAGAAGTTTGTCAATAGCTGTTTCATACTGCCCTAAACGTGTATCACAAAGAACATGTATGCTCAGACCAGAAATAGAATTTTCTGGAATATCCTTCAGATATGGGAGAATGGAAGATATTCTGAAGGATGAACTACATAAGAGAGACTGAAAGAAAGAACAGGAAGGACAGACATATTAGGTTTGGAATGTGACACCAAAATGAAAAACATTTGAGCCACATATCTTGATATGAATTTTTTGAACCAACTTAGCATTTAAAAAGTTACAGCTCTCACTGAGGTAGGGTTTTCACCTTTAAGAACTGCAAGACAGCACAGAATATTGAAGCGACTGCACTTCTGAATTTGACTTGTTTATGTTAAGCCTTCATTTGGCTTTGCTATTTGATACTATCCTATAAAAATACAGCCAGCAATAACTGCTTTGCCCACTCTAGAACAATTTTCCATGTTTAATACTAGGATATTTTCACATTGATCCAAAGTGTTACATCCTCTGAATGATCCCAATGGGTGGAAGGGGTGGTTTCACACTTTCAGGACAGAGTGGTTAAGATAGAAGTTTTTGAAGACTGTGATGAAGGAAAAACACCAGCCTCCATGTGAGTAAGCCACAGCACCACACTTTGAATGTCTACAGACTCAGTGCTGCTCTGAATAAAGGGCAGGTGTGAGGGTTGGAGAAGAAGGATAAGGGAGACAGCAGATGCCAGAGGACAAAGAGAATCCTGCAGAGAAAGCACCTGCTGGATTACCCTTACAAGGCCTGTATAAACAAACTCCCCCACCCTTCTATGCTGCCTGGTTGGGAAGCTTGTTGCCGAGGCAGAGAAGACAGCTGGTTCCTTATGCTAGAAAGCCTTGCTCAGAGGGAAGGAAGGGGTCAGAGACTACTCAAGTAAGGAGTTGTTCATATGGCCATCACTGAGGTTGGAAGGTGTTACTGCAGGAGAACAAGCCTCAGATTGCTGCTGCCAGATCCATTGATGTCCTTGGTTATTTTATTCTGAGTGTTATTCTTATTTCTGATCTGGACTGCTAAGGCTCCAAAGAATCTGTTTCTGTTGTTAACTGCTGTCCCTGAGTGCTCAAGAGATTGGGGAGAGTAAACTTCAGCAGCTTCTCCACAACTTGGAGAGTCCAGTGTTAGCTAGTCAGCTTCCCACCTCTCTGCCTACAAAGGCCTCTGCCACACTGGTGTCCTATGGTCAGAAAACTTCTAGAGCAGTGTTTCTCAACCATGGCAACTTGAAGATGTGTGGACATCAACTCCCAGAATTTGCTGGGGAATTCTGGTAGTTGAAGTCCACACATCTTCAAATTGTCAAGTTTGAGAAACACTGCTCTAGAGAGTTCTTGTACTGCAGCTACTGCCCCTTGCTTCCTTCATCTCTCTCTTTCTCTCCCCATCCGAGCTCCAGAAGAAATTTAATTACCCTTCCAGGTCACAGTTATTGTATAATGACTTGCATATTTGGAACACAGACATTCTTTTGGATAAATTCTACATGACAGCCTTATCTTTAAACAATCACAGAAGGAATGACAGCCATTAAGGAATTCACTGTAGATGAGAAATCAGGATAGCTCTCAGTCAGTTAAACATTTCTTTAAAGGCTCATAACAGTGGTAGGTATTTTAGTGTCCATGTATACCTTTGAAAAGTGGAAACATTGCTATAAACCCAGTTCCTCTGAACAACTACTATTTAACATGGATGTGCACAAACCAGAAATAATGCGATTCAAAATAAGCCCTTTGGGCTGCAAAAAATCTGGGCAACCACTAGACAACAACAAAGGGATACCAAAAAAGTTATCCCTCTCCACTGCCGTCTAGGAGTCATTTGGATTTTTGCAGCTCAGACCTGGTAACCTTAGAGTTCTTTCAATTTAGGACAATCATTTGTCCTTGGGATGTAGGCATTTTAATTGCAAGGAATTAAGGAGGAGAAAGAGGCTGGCTCTGCAGGTTTTATCATTTGCAGTCAACCAGCTCCTCCAGGGCAGGAGGACATTCTGTCAGTCCACTAAGGGAACATTTTTTAAAAGTTTAAAAATAAACTTCTAAATCTAGTATGTCTGTGCTGAAACCTAACACTGAGATACTCAGAAACATGGACTTCCACCATCCATCCCAATATTCAAAGGTTCACCTACTACTTTATCCCCCTATCCTGACTGACTGCCTAAAAACAAAGAAAGAAAGGAGTTGCAATACTTTTTTCCTGGTATAATGAACATTAGTGTAGGAATGACCAAGGTTCTGCCCAGGAGTCAGCTCCACCCTGGAAAATACCCAAAAAGCCCCATCTCTGCCTGATTGCCAGCATTTACATCCTCGGCAATACCCAGAACAAAAGAGTAATCATGAGTTATGCACATTTTTGCTCAGCAAAACAACTCTTATTTTACATTTGAAGTCCTAAAGAGGCAGAAGAGCTGCAGCAAATTGGTCAAACCAGTAAGTTCAGGCATGAAGCAAAATGTATAGTGAACTGCATCAACAAAGCACAAGAGCATGAAAACAGTGGATACAACCATGAAAAGTGTCTGCCCACCTCGCTAAGCTTAGCAGGCCAACCGGCATAGAGGTCTTTGCATTTTTCAATGCACTCTGAAGCCTCCACAAACATAAGGCCCAACAGAGTGCAATGATGAATGAACAACAAATACATCATCATCATCATCATCGGAAAAAAACTACAAAAGAGACAATCAAACCATTGCAAGCCATAAGAACTTTTCTGGGGAAAAATATTTGTTGATGATAGCTTGCTGAGTTTCACTCTCAGCCCAGGAGTTGCTAAAGGATGGGAGTGCCTGAATGATGTAAATGTCAACACCTGTCCCTCTGCCTGTATGGAGAAGAACATCTCCTTTCTCAACCTGGCCCGCTATGAGGCTAGCTAGTACACCATTGCTGCTTCAGGAGGAATGGGCAAGGCACTAGAATCAAGTGTTAAAGTAGCTCCCTTCCCCTGAAGTGTAAGTCTTGGCACTGCCCTCCCTCTAACCAGTCTAGCTTTTCTAGCCATGGCTTATTCATCAGGGTTTTTAGGGTGGGGGAGAAATAATTCAGAAAATGTAGCTAGTTCCGAGCAATCTCTTCCTCTCTGAGTCAAGAACAGTTAAACCCAGAATGGCAACCTCTGTGCCATGTGCACCATGAACATTTGCTGTTTTGTTCCCAAACTCCAACCAGGTCACCCACTTATCCTGCTTAGCCCAGCCTGTACTGGCCAGAGACAAACATTCCAAAGATAACAACCTAGTTTCAACAGACAACATATCTTCTAATCATACCAGCTAGAACAGAATGGAACATCTGAAACAGAATGGAACATTTGAAACCCAGAACTGTGTTTTGGTCTGTATCTGAAGTAAAGCACTCCCATTTTGGTCCATGTCTGAAAAAAAACATCCAAACGCCCGTTTCAGTTCAGGCAGGGACCATCCAAAACCAGCTGTTCTGCGTGCAGAATGCATGAAATGTTTGACATATCCCTATTTATTAAAGAATAGAGGAAGCTTATTATCACTTAAACATCACTGGTAACTCTTCATTCTGTAAGTTTGTCTACAAGATGAGCGCAATTGGCCTATACTTGGCAGAGGTTAGAGGGCTCCCAGGAGTATTGGCATAATCCTAAGTATCAGAGAGACCGCGTGCCTGTAATTTTGTAATTTTTGTAATTACTTGTAATTTTGAAAGGTCATCACATGAATTCCAGTCAGGAGGAGGTACTAACGACATCATGAATATAATCCAAGAAAAAATAAGTCCGTAATCACTGCAGGAATTTATCTGAAAGAACAAAATAAAAGGTATTTTAAAAAACAATGAAAGTCATTTGCACTGCAAGCATGTTTACATTAAGCTTTCTAGTCTCATTTAACATTTACTGCAAAGGTAGTCATCTTTACTTTGTTAAAAAAAATAGTTATAATCAGCTACCATTTGATGCTGCACAGTCAGCCCATTTTCTTAAGAAATGCAAAGCCTTTGATAATTAGACATTTTTAAACTGTGCATTTAGACAGGTAAATAAGTTTCACTACAGTATCAGCTCTCTAAGTATTCTTTATTGCCAATCAGTATTTGTGGATTTAATATATCATTTTTTCTCAAATTAAACTGTGCAGAGAGTTTTACAATCCAATTTCCCCTTGCTAAATTAGCAAAATCACAAGATTGCCCATGGTATATATCAATCACCAATACAGCTGGGAGCAGACGATAGGAAAACAGGAAAATCCAAACCAGCAATTCATGTATCCTCTAGCAACATTTTTTAAAATAAAATTTCCTATCAAAATCTGGTTCCAATTTTCTCTCCAAACTATACAGAATTAACTTGGTACATAGCCGTCTTGGAAAAGTGGGTAGATTATAAGGCCACATGACTACAAGCCATGGAACCAAGACAATTATCATGTAGCATACCAGAAATCAAGACTGTAGTTTTTATTTTTTAAATATTTTTATTTTTTTCCATTTCTGTAGGGCACAAGAAAAAGTGGGTTTGCTTTTAATAGGTATCATTTATATAAAGTGTTCCTCACAAACAGTAGGTTTAATTCACTGTTAAGTACTGAAGCTCTGTGGAGGTCACTTTCCTACGACTTTACTGTACAAAACACAAAACTTAGCTTGAAGAAAAGGTCCATCATTAATCCCAATTGGAATGATCTTTTGGTATACAGAGGGCTGGTTAAGCACTAACACAAGACATTTATGAAGAGCTCTTTATGTTCTACATTATACATCTGTGCAAGTTCACATATTTCACTAAGTCAGGATTAGCAGATCTGGGCTGCAAAAATTACCATCAACAGATAGCAGCAGAGTAATTTTTTTAAATCATATTTCTCTGCTCCCAGCTAGTGGTTATGTAGATTTTGCAGACTAGATCTGGTAGCTTTAACCTGGTTTGATTTGGTTTGTAATATGAATTCTACCCACTGGGGTTTATTCCATAAAATGGTTTCAAGTCTTGGCTTAGCATGATGTGTAAATTAAGTCTCTGTCTTCCCTACCCATGTCCCACAGTACTTTACCAAATCTTCAGTGGTTTTTAGAGGCTCAGTGTCAGGAAGCTGTTTCCTAGATACTCTCCAAATATACTGTGTAGCAAGTTTAAAATGCAACTTCTGTGCTACTTCTTCCTGAGTACATGCCACAAGCAGAGCTTCCCAGAAGTCTACCAAGAGCTGGGGAACAGCATCTTCATCTTCACCACACAGCATCTGCATTCGAGAAATATAAAAAGAAGGGATCACTTACAAAAGAAGATTTAGCTGTTAAAAATTATCATAAGGTACCAGTCCTGTGAGGTGTATGAGTTCTCCTTTAAAAGTACCAACATACGCTCGTGTTTGGAAACATGGTGATAGTTCCAGGTCCATGTTTACTGGACACAAGGTAGAACAAAACTAAGTGGACCCAGGAGCTAGTTTATAAAATGTGCTTTTCTGTACAAGATATAAATTATATGTACCAATTAGGTCACTGATGCACCTGAAAAGGATCACCAAGACTGCAGTAATTTTTTCTAGCCAGTTAGTCATCATCCATTTTTCCAATGGCTGGGTTTACATATTAAGCTATATCAGCAGTTGGCTACCTGCAGCATCAGGGTTGCGTGTGACAACTAAACCCATTTTCTGTGACTCTGCGGAGCCTTCTCCAACCACAATATTTAGTGCAACTGCTGAAAATTACAGACACAGTTTTCCACGAGGAGACATATAAAAAAAATGGAATGTTCCAAGTTCTTAAAGAGCCGTAAGAGTATTACAAGAAAAAATCTGGGAAGTGATGGAAAATCCCAGCCTTGCTATAAATGTGAAGTGATCATGCCCACTTTACACTCTTCTCCACTGCAGCTCTTCTCCCCTCAAAAGCTGGTGAAGTCACTGGCCATCAAAGGTTGTTCTCTCCAGATTTCAATCACAGTTTGTTTTAAATATGTCTAAGCTGTAATTGGTGGGTACGTACTTCACTTTAACTCCAACCCCAAACAAATGTCACTTTGATTTATTGATATGCATGAATCAAACAATTACATTCAACTATAAACACAAAACTAGGAAAGAATCAATATTGTTTGCCAGAAAAAAAAATTCACACAGAACTGATATTGCTTCATTATCTCTGATGCTATGCCAATTTTTCCCATTAAAAGTAATGGTACAAATTGTTTGAAAGCCATGCTTTTCAATGACAGCAATTCAGATCAACCTTTGGTTATATTCATTACCTGTTAAATGAATTAGGCTATTGAATTCTTTATACTTCTGTTTCAGTTTAGAAGAAAAATGACTCCAACTTTTATATATCCTTTAATTATGAAGTCTACGGACTGGAAACTGAACTATTTTGGTAGATCTTAACTATAAAATGGGCAAAAATGCTGGACAACAAACCTTAATATAAGTGCCTGCTTCTTCAAGTTCCATTTTATTATTCTCATGTAAAGCCAATAGTGAAGCTAGGAGAAATCCAGGTCTGGTCTCTTTAAGGTACAAAGCAAGTTCAGTCAGGACTATTTGTCCTTTAATGTGCTGTTTTAGAAGTCTTGGCTCTCCAATAAAACCACATACCAACTTCATCTGCGGACAAAAGACAAGATCTAGTTGGTGGATTTTACCCAATTTTTGAATGGTAGCTAATTCAATTTTTTTTTGAACTTTGACAAAAGAAACAGCAAAAATATATGCCTAGATCATATTTATTTCTAAAGACCAGGATGCAGACGGTATTCCTAGTGTTAATGGATATTACATGCTAAACAAGCTATGGGATTCAATGTTTCATTGCTCTCCTTCTTTGCAGCATAAGTTTTTCCTAACAGATCAAACCATGATACACACTGTACTGAGTGATGTTTTAATCATGGTTTACTGTATAAGCCATGACTGACTGGGTTTATACACATAAAGCTGAAAACATTAAATACATTTTGGCTTAAGGTTAACTCAGTCACCAGCAATAGCTGTAAATGTGGCTATCAAGTTCATCCTCAGTCCAGGACCTAAAAACTGGAGAATTAAAAACTGATTTGCAATTAATATATTAATTATCTGCAAATATCTCCACTAGGAATAGTTCTTACTGGAAAGGAGGTGAAGAATGACGGTTCTCAGTTCTTGCTCCCCATTACTAACCATGGTTGAGTGTAAAGTTAGAAATACATGTACCACCTCTCTGAGCCTCAGCATTGTGTGATGGGACAAAAACATGTTTAATCCCACAGACGAGATTTTGCCAATAAAATGTAGAAAATATTATGCATTGAAGTGCAGCATAAGTTGCCTTGAGAAATAATGCCAATGAGATTGTCACAAAAAGATGCTGTTCCACGTGGAGGTACACAATTGCTTTCTGACACTTAAAACATCCATACCCAACCTGGTACTCTGGTGTGGTGGCTTACAACTATAAAGGCGATTTTGGTCTGGAGTTATAGGATTTACAGTCCAAGACATCTGGAGGTCATTAGACTGGGGAAAGCTAACATAAATGTGAGAAATGCAAACAGGGGAAGGATATTATATTCATCTGAAAGATGCTGTAACTAGAGCATAAACTCATCTATCAAAACTTTTGTTCTGCAATGTAACTTCTATCCTTATTCTCTAACAATATGAATTGCAAAAAGAATATATTTAAAAGGAACTAGAACAGCCATTTACACTCCCCTCTTGAAAAGAAGGAATCATTCATTCAAGCTTAGGGCAGAATGCCAAGACAATCCTTTCTCTCCCCTTCCTGTTTGCCATAGGCAGGAGAATGGAGCCTACCTCATGAATGCTAAGGACAGTGGCCCACTTAGAATGGTGTGCTCTGACTGGCAGCAGCTATACAGGAATTAGCTGCAATAGTGATCTTTTCCCATCATCTGAGATACTAGGGACTAGGACCTCCAGTCTGCAGATGGGAGCTCTGCTCCTGTACCTCTGTTCTTCTCCAAACCAGTGAACAGACTGAAAGGTCTGCAGGGGGGAAAAGCTTCAGGGAAGATCTAGTTGCAACTGGCAAACATTACTTTTCGACGAATGTTGGTTCACCAATTATCTCTACTGTACTGTAATGATATGTATCCACCAATGATCTATACCTCTGCTTGGCTGTCCAGCTCCCTTTTACAGCCATTCTGATCCCCCCTTTTCAGAGCCACAGAAGCCTTGGCCAATGTCACCAGAACAGATGGCACCACCTTTTCTATCAATTCCAGATATTCCATTGCCATTTCAAGGCATACTTTTTTCATGCAAGGACTGCAGAGGACATGTGGTATCTGGTTTGGCTCAGCAAGGTGGAATATCTGAAGCACTTTTGCAGCCAAGTCCTAATAATTCAAAGAGATATATTAATCAAGTCCTTGTCATGCTCTTATTTATAGTACAAGACATGAATGTAATTAGCTGTTATCAAAATCCCCAAAAGATCATAATAAAGCAGCAAAAATGATCTGAAATAGCTCATGAGAGAACTGGATAGCATGACCCCAAATCATGAAATGCTCATAATTTGCAACAGTTCTTTCAAGATCCAACTTTTCCCATGTAGTCACTTGGGCAAAATAGGTAGTCTTTGGGGGAACCTATTAGGAATTTGAGAGCGTGTGGTGGCTGCGTTCACATAATAGTTGTCAAAGGAGAATTGCAGATTCACAGAATGGCTACTATGATAAGCGTGGCCAATTACAGCCATTTACCAGAATATAAACTAGCTTCCTGGGAAGTCTTCTACTACACCAGTGGAAAGTCTTGCTAGGGTGGGAGAGGAAACACTCTCAAAGGCATCCCTGATAATTGTCAGCCCTTCAGGGTAGGTCAAGTGATCAGGAAATAGACTGCTCAAGAATGATTGGAACGCTATTGCTAGAGAGTATACTAACAGAATCTTGAAAGCTTGACAAGCTTTTCCCTCCCTCTTATACTCAAGAGAATTAAGGCAGAGTTGGTTTAAGTTTTTTTCTCAGGTTTCCTTCTTGTCCTGGGCTTAAATCATGTTTTTGTAACTGCTGTTGCCTAGTTTCTCCAAGGTCATCTCCATGGTTCCTTACAAATAAATGCTAGAGGCTGGAGCTGTACTGCACATAGCATTACAGTTTCCCGCTAAATGTTTTGTATTAAAACAATATTATAAAAGGTCAGGTGGGGCAGGGAATTGGATGGGCACCAACAGAGATGGATAGGGGTATCTTAGTGACTGTGGGCATAACACTGTCTACCATACATTATTTTTTCAGTCATAGATGGTAGTGTGCTAAGCCTCCAGACTTTTGATAGTTAATATTTATTCATTTCTCAAGGTTCATATTCATTCATTTCTCAGGGTTTCCTCAATAATTCTCCCAGCTGGCTTATGTAATTTCTGTTTTATATATGGATTATTTATTTATTTTTGGTGCCAAGTCAGTCCTGATTCCTGGCGACTGCCTGGACTAGTCCCTGCAGTTTTCTTGGCAAGATTTTGAAAGTGGTTTGCTATTGCCTGCTTCCTAGGGCTGAGAGAGAGGGACTGGCCCAAGATCACCCATCTGTTTTTTGTGCCTAAGGCAGGACTAGAACTCACAGTCTCCCAGTTTCTAGCTCAGTGCCTTAACCACTACATCAAACTGGTTCTCTTTTATATATGGGACAGGGGAACTAAAGCTTCTCAGTTTATAACAGCAAATCTATTTATTGATTAAGGCTGCAATCCTGCATCCACTTCCACTTACCAAAGATTAAGTTCAACAGGACTTATTTCTGAGAAAATGTTGCAGTTACAATTTCCCTGCCATATTTATTTAACATTCTGGTGGTTGACAATAACAGAAGTTCATCCTACTAATTTTCTTAAGTGCTTGATTTACAGTTGACTAGGACAACCAAAGAAATCCATCATCTTACTTCACTTAGCTCTTCATCTATATCTTCATCAAAGGAATGCTGCAAGTAGAATATAAAGCCTTTTTCATACTTGTGTGTTTTATCTTCAAATGTTATTCGTTTCAGAATGTCAGATATGGAAAGGCCAGACATCTTATAGTAAGGGAGTGCAAGATGGAAGTCTTTGGTGTCAAACCTGAAAGCGCAGAAGTCACCAAAAAAGAAAGAAATTAAAATCCTATTTAACTGCACAGTACTTTAGTAAAATAAGCATCTCTATGCATAGGTATGTAAAATTAGAGTTTGTCTTACAGTATTCTTGTGCTGGAACTACAGACACACTGCCAATAGGTCAGGTTTATTTTCCAAAAAGAGAACACGATCTTTTTCATAAATATGGCTGTAATTTACCCCACTGGAGATAGTTTTATGGTGCACTCAAAAAAACAGGAAGGGTCATTAATTCCTACAAAAATAATTTTCTGAGGTAATTTAAAGGTTAGACTTTTCCAACCTGCTCATCCCCCCCCCCCCAATTGCTAAATAGCCATGCTAGCTGGAAATTCTGGAAACTGTAATTCAAACACCTCCGGATGATACCAGGTTATAGAAAATAGCTTACAAAATATTCAGTTCAACTATTAGGCTGGCAAATTTCAGACATCATACTCCTTCTCCACAAACTCAACACATGCTATTAAGTTAGACAAGATACAGACCAAAGTACAAAATAAAGAAGAGAGCCAGAAGAAGAGAACCAGGGAAGAGGATGAAAGCAAAACCCATGCTAGGTTAACTATGAAGCTCCTTAAGTTCTGTGTATATTGTTCTGACATGTAAGAGAAGACTCCTTTCAACAAGGATGTGGGCAGTTGAAAGTAGAACTTCAAGCTGCTTCTTGATCATATCCTATATAAAGCAGACCAAAAGGTGGAGACTGGAAGACTGATTGGAAAGCCCTTTATTTTTCAAGACATTATCCATTCTTCAAATGAATGTGATTATAACAACCACTTTCTGCTATCATTAAGGATTATGGAACTTGTAGTCCAAACCAGTTTGAGTCTTCCATATATATACCATGGATATATATGTGATAATATATACATATACTGGGCTGATCCACTCTCCTTTATTTGTTTTAGCTAAGCTGAAGGCACAGGGGGTTACTTTATCTTCCTTAAGACAAGACCACAGTGCCAATCTGATTCAAAGCTGGCCTGTAAGGCTTTAGTCTGCTTTAGTCTGTATCTTGTCTAACTTACAGGTTTTCAAGAAGACATGTCTCTAGTGAAGTTTCTAGCATGATTCCTTCCCTGTGATAAGATCTGAGTAAAAATTCTTCTTGCGCAAGAGATCCAAACCTGCTGTAACAGTCTCCAAGAAGAGCACAACTTTCATGGAATGCTGCTAGGAGATCTTCCTTCTTCTCCAAATCTTTCAGATCAGGATCCATTAAAGCTGTTCTGACTAGTAAGTGAGCCTCACTTAAAAGATGTATACAACTCTCTGTTCTTACATTTTCATAAGTCTTGCTGTATTCTACCTAAAGCAGAAAAAGGGGTCACTTTCAGGTTTATGTTAGGCCACAGTAAATTATCTTATTCCTATAAGTCTATAAAATAAATGCAGAACAGTACATTACCATTTCTCTGTAGAGCTGGAGAGTTGAAGTTGTGTTCACAATATATAAATTCCATCCAGGTTCAGATTCTGGGGCAACCTTGGGTTTAATGTTATCAGCCTTTCGGTAACTGAAAGGATACATATGCACTAGTGATTTTTTTAATTTACAACTATAATAATTTTTTCAGCTATTTCAGAATTCTTTCAATAGCAATGGAAAGGCAAGAGTACATGTTCCAGATGATCTGTCGCTGAGTGAATTCCCTCTGGCCCAGAAACATCAAAACCTTGCCTCCACCCAAATCTTGGAACCTTTATACTTACAGAAGTCTTCGTGAAAGTGTTTTTTTCTCTAGAATGTCCTCAGAATCTGCTTTTGTCAAAATTATGACATGGTGTTTGAAGTGAGAGATGGCTTTCAGCCCTATAAAAAGCTGCATCCTCAAGGTACAGACATCGAGAGACACAGGTGGACAAGCCTGTGAAGAGACAGTGTAGCTTTACATTATTCCATCTTCAAACTCTCTAGAACAGACAGTGGATCACGTGGCACCCTCCAGCACCCATTTGTGTCCCCAGAGGCCTCCCAGGTTGGCCAGAAGCTCAATCCATTCATCTGATCCTTAAAATTTGCTCCAAGAGTCACTGGAAATCAGGTGTTGTACTAAATAAATGAATAAAAAATTCTCCCCAAACCAGGTAATAAAATCAGGCTGAAGTTCATTATTTTAAGATATCTTAAACCTCTGGAGGCTGCTAATAATAGCTTTATGAGGTATGATATACAACTCTTATTACACTATACATATTTACAAAGACATTTTGGTTCATTTCATTTTCCGATTAATTCACAATTTGGAATTTTCATTTTTGAACACTATTCAGGCATCATTAAATTAGGAGTACTCCTGAACACTCCTAATAAAAATGCCATCCGATGTAGCTGGAATGATATCCAGACATCTGTGTTCCCAGAGATGTCTACTGGGGAAAATTCCTAATAGGGCTTAAGTTACTTTTCACTGAACTACCTACTCAAGATAACTTTCTTGATGAGATACTGACAGCTCAAATTTCTCAAATATGCTGATGAAGTTAGGATTTTTCTGTTGAAATGTGTATCACTTTATGTTAACTTTGATATTTTTGTGCCCATTTTAGAACTCTTCACAATCTGTTTTCATATTAATCATGAAATAATTTTGTACGATCAGTATACTAGGCTACCCACAGCTGGCCAATGGTGCCTCTATGAAGCCCTCTCCTTGGACATCTGGAGCATGTCAACTGGGTTGGGATAGAGACCTGAGCTCTTACTTGAAACAGCCTAACAACAAAAACAACATCTTTTATAGCCTTGCTCTTCCCTTTCACAACTACCTCATCTGGATCTCTGGACCCTGCCCTGATCCTAAACTACAGGTAGTTCTTGACTTACAACCATTTGTTTAGTGACTGTTCAAAGTTACGAAGGCGCTGGAAAAAGTGACTTATGACCGGTCCTTGCACTTACGACTGTTGCAGCATCCCCATGGTCACGTGATCAAAATTCAGGTGCTTGACAACCAGCATGTATTTATGACGGTTGCAGCATCCTGGGGTCACCTAATCGCTAATAGCCGGCTTCCAACAAGCAAAATCAATGGGAAGCTGTATGATTACTTAACGACCATGTGATTCGCTTAACAACCATGGCGATTCGCTTAACGACTGCCACAAAAAATGTTGTAAAATCAGGTGCAGTAATGTGATGCCTTGCTTAACTACTGCACCACTTAATGACAAATTTTCCGGTCCCTATTGTGGCCATAAGTCAAGGACTACCTGTAGATTCTACAACTACAACTAACCCTTTGGGTTTAATAGTACTGTCTTTGCTATTTTCAACCCTGGACTGGATTTTGACAGTCCTTGCTATATTCCTTCTGCTTGACTGTCCTCTCTGGGTTAATGATCCTAAAACATGACACATGTGTTTTATTGTTTGGTCTTTTTTTATGTGTATTGTAAGCCACCCAGTGTTTTGGAAGTCAGACAATATCCATGTCACTTTTCTCCCCACTGCCCTCTGGAATACCTTCCCCCAATATACATTCTGGCCATGTTTAAAATAGTCTTGAAAACCTGACTATTTCCCCAGGCCTTGGGTCAGAATGGGTGGCAGGTCCTGTGTGTTTGTTTTTTAATTGCTGTCTTTCTTCTGGCATTTGTTTTTTTTTTTTAATTGTGTTTTATGCCACTGTATGCCACTCAGAGTTATTGTAGAGTTGGTTAGCCTTACAGCTTTCCACATAAACAAAACAAACAAATCTGTGCTGTGCCACTGAGCAGTGTTCCTTGGCTCTTTCTCCATCCAGTCTCCTATCCCCCGTGTTCTTTTGCTCCCCACTGCCTGAGTATCTGCATCAGTGTTTATCTGAGCACGTGCATCCATGCAGATATGTGCACAAATGTTCGTTTCTGTTGAGTGTTTGGAATTTGTTTTTGTATAATTGCTTGAATGTCTGTGTCTAAACATGCTTATGCATTGAACTACAATTCAGTGTTCCCATCCTCCTTGCTAGATGACATTACCCACTCTGCGGTACAGCCACCTACATGCCTCCTCAAAACATGTGGAACTCTCCTGTTTTATATGCTTGTACCCAGTATTACCACTCAGTTTAGGATTTCCCAGCTGGCTCATTCGCCACAGCCCTCTGCTCTACAGCACTTCCAAACTATGCCAACCAATGAAAGCTCCAGCTGAACAACAGGGGTAAGCCATCTGAGGTCCTGTGGCTGCCTGAAGCCCTGAATCACTGTTGTTTTAACAGCCCCCAGAGCCCCCTCTAATACAATGGCTGAAAACCAGCAGCTTTTTCCCATCACAAAACACATAAAATCTATACTTAATCCAAAACCTCTTTCCAAACTCAGTAAACCAGAACAACCCTGGCTTTGTCCAGAGGTATGGCATAGCTTCTCCTTGGATCCTTGCCCTGCTCACCATGGCTCTTGCTCCTCCAACGAAATGTTAAATGAGGCCAACAGCTCCCAAAAGGTTGCCTACCTCAGCATCACAATTAAGGACATGTGGGCTCTGGAAAACAAAGCTAATCTCAGAAGTGAATCAGAGCACCTTTAATGTTGTATCGATGTAGGGGTCTTGGTCCCGAGCTGCTGCTGCACTGCATCTTACTGTAAAGCACTGCAGGTTGTTGCTAGGGGGGAAAAATAAAGAGGAATTAGGCTGGCATACATCCACCAGTCCTTCGCCAATGTGTTACCTTCCAGATATGTTGGAACTACAACTCCTAAAAGGCTATGCAAGCAGGAGAATTCTAAGAGTTGACTCCCAATGCTTATAGAGAGTATCAGTTGAAGAAATCTATACCTTGGTTATTAGTGTGTATCAATGAAAAAACAAAACAAAAAAAACCCTACACTGTGAAATATACAGGACTTGTTTGAACCAATCAGCTAGAGATAGTGCCAGATTCCAGCTATATTCCTTCAGATATGGCCAGGAGAACCATTTCAATGATCCCATCTTGGAGCTGCAAATCATAAGCGCTTCATATCAATGAAGAGGAGTTAATTAGGATCTCTAGGGAATAAGAATAATGGCTAAAAGGTCTGTGTTGCCACAGAACATTCTATATAGAAGCCATGAAATGTGATGCACAGGCTTGGTTAATTTAAGCTTAACAGTAAAAAATCCTGTTAAGTTTTGTGCAAACTGCCAATCTGGTTGCTATGGTTTGCAAACAATAATATATGGCTTAGTGCCATCCAGCCAATCCAGTTTGTTCAACAAATTACAGTTAAATATTGGCTTAGCCAGGATCTATACTTTGGTATAATTCTTAAAAACAAAAGATTTAACCTATTACATTTTTACTGCTGGCTATCGAGAGAAGGATTTTCTCAAGTAAAACCTCTTCTTTCCTTTCCAACAGCAAATTCCTGCCCCATCTCATGCTACACTGTGTGGAATTTTGTCCTACATATCTGGTGGAACCAAAAATAAAGTTTGCTCTGTTATCAATACACCTCCTAGGCCAGCTCTGCTCAAACTTTGCAGCCCATTTCTCCAGACAGGGCTTGAATCACTGGTGGAATATTTTGGACCTTAATGAAGGACAACGGACAATGAAATGTGATACCTTGTAATGACATGCAGGAACTGGGGTGTAAGAACTGCCTGCTGGGATCTTTCTGAATAGTGGTATGTAGAAATCAGCTCCACTAAGTTATTGATCGTGTAGAGGTATGCCACATGTGGCAGGGAGAAAAAGCAAAACAAACTCAGCAATTCTTGTTCAGCTGTATTTCCTTTCTTGGCTGTGACAGAAGTCTCTAGATGAAAGAAGAGAAAAGACCATCTAGCACCAGATACTAGGTAAGAATTCCAACCTTTAAGCCCTTCTCTCAATCTGACAACTTTAGAAGTTCTAAATTACATGAACTATGGAGGTCTAGCTGTTCTAACTTGGGATGGTGATGACAGTGATGATGATTTATTGTATGGCCACCCATCTCATCCAAGCGACTCTGGATGATGCATTGTAGCTCAACGCACAAAGAAAGCATCAAAATGAAGAAGGAAGTTATGTGCTAACAACAAGCTTTCTGTAAGAGCCAATTCATCTATAGCAAAAATGGTGCCATCCACACACCAGAGAGAAATATCAGAAGGCTTAAGGAGTCTGAAGTTTACAGAAATACAAAAGCCAAACAAATCTGTGGGAAAACCCCAAAGGCAGGGGAAAAAATTCCTTGCATTAGGGGAAAAAAACCTAACGAGGATTGAGCATGTTTGGTGGACCCAGAATTCTGAACTTCTGATGGGGAGAAAATAAAGGCAAGAGGAAACATAATAGGAGTATTCTGGAAGAAGAAGCAATGACTGGCTGACCAGCTTCTTCAAACACTTCATGGTACAACAGTTTGTTGCAGAGCTTTCTTACATGCTCTAAACCCCAGCTGAACTGGAACAAAATTACAAGTAGTAACATTAGGATATCAAAACTAGATTAACATTTGTACCATATGAAGCAGGAGATGGTTTGTGGGCTGTGTACAAGAGCCCTGCAATTTTAATAGTTGAAAAAAAATAATAATCCAGGAATGGAAAGTACAGTGCTAAGCCTCTGCATATCCTGGAAGACTAACATGCGCATGGCATACAATGAAGACATTGTTTTGGAAAGACCATATTTGAGATTCCATTGCAAAATACCAAAGTGTCAGGGCAAAGATTTTCAGCTCAGATCTTACACTGATGAACTTGGCAGTAAACCCAGATGTTCCAGAGGAACTGGAGTTCTGATCACTAGAATTTGCCTCTAATTAGGATGCAAAGAGTGGACAAAATTGATATCAGCCCTGAATATAACACAGACTGTTTTTACAAAGTCTCTTCTCATAATCAATAGGTACTTCTCTCATTCCTTCCCAACTTCGTTACATCACATTACAGCTTGTAACTCAAATGAAAAACCCAATTTAAAAAAATCATTGAAAAATGCAATTCAAAACAGACCTGTTATTTTTTTTTAAAGTACTGTAACTTCTAAAAGCTTTCCACTGAATTTATATAAATCTCTAAATTGCCACAGTATTCCAAAGATCTATGATTCTGAAATTCTCACAAAGCAATTAAAGCTATTTAAAAGTAATATGACTCTGACCCAAATTCTTAGGTCACTGAAATTAAAATTTGCTATCAATATACGGTTTCAATACATATATTCAAACATTTCCCTATTATAAGCTCTAGCTTTGTCTATCACACAGTAATCTTATGTTGGAAACAGGATGTCTTTTTCCACATCTTCCATTATGATATTGTACATTCATAAATGTACCTGCTTCATATATTGGTAGCAGCTGAAGAGAGTGCAGCTTGGCATCTTCAGGAGAGAAAGGAAATGAGGATACATCAAGAGCAAAACGCCTACAAAGAAAGGCAACAAATGAAAAGATGCTAAGCCAGCAACCTGTTCTCTACTTTTATGGCAAGACCTGGGAAATCCCGCAAATTTGCTCTTTCATACTGCACTGGAAGCTGGTCAGGTCAGAAGCAACACCCAATTTAAGCAGGGTGCAGTAGAAGCAGTTAAGATCTCTGTGCACTAGCAAACATGTACATAAGACTCACTAGTCTTGCAATACGAGTGTTCCTTAACAGTTCTAACAATTTGCATTTTTTGGCTAAAATAACTTAAAACTGGCACATAAGATGTTGTAAGTGTTCCTGCTGTTTCTCTGGTGAATTACTTAACATGGAAACCAAATGAATGGCTTACATAGTTTCGACCAGTAAAAGGGTCCAATACAAATACTAGTAAATACTTATTACAGTTTTTTTACCAATCAGAAAGATACATTAATTACAATAAATCCTATAATGTTAGTTCACAACTTAACAAATGCTCTGATTAATTTTTCTTTCTGTTTTATTAGAAAGACTTTCAGTACCCGCATGACTTATATATCACTAATTACCAATGACTGCAAAAAGCCCTGTTCTACTTCCCAAATCTGAAATTTCAGATTGGGATTATTATTTATTATTTATTTATTAAATTTGTATGCCGTCCATCTCCCCCAGTGGGGGACTCTGGGTGGCTTGCAATGAAAGTACAACCCACAAACAGTTAAAAAATAAATACCATTAATTAATTAAATTAATTACTTAATTAAAAAATCAAACTACAAAAACAAGCCCTATACATAAATAACTAAAAACATTCAAGATGATGGGGGAGTAAAATCAATCACCTCACAAGCCCCCAGGCCATCTGGCATAGCCAAGATTTCACGCTCTTCCTGAAGGCCATGAGAGTGGGGGTACAGCGCACCTCGGGTGGGGGTAATGGCAAAAAAGGCCCTCTTCCTAGATCCCACCAGTCAAACTTCCTTGACTGGTGAGGTCTGCAACATGCCCCTTCTGCCGGACCGAGTGGGATGGGCTGATATAACAGGGGCGAGACGGCTCCTCAGATAACCTGGTCCAGTGCCATGAAGGGCTTTAAAGGTGATGACTAACACCTTGAATTGGACCAGGAAGCAAACCGGCAACCAATGCAGCTCGCGTAACAGTGGTGTTATATGGGCCCAGTGGTGTTATATGGGTGTTATTAAGTTGCTCACGCTCTCTATAATGAACATATTACTGCGACAATACCCTCCCAGACCCCAAGCTTAACTCTTTGAAGATAGGGGAAGGAAGAAAGAGCTCATGGATAATATATTTATCCAATGATTAAGGTACTAAGTCATTATCTTCACAAAAATGTTAAGCTGAGCTCATGCTTGTGCATATGAGATCATATGTCTTGGTTATGATGTACTTCCTTTATGGCAGGCTTTGACATAACAGAAGGTGCTGTGCCAGTCCTTAAAATGGCTTAACTCTAGGTGCATTCAGACTCTTAACTCTGACACTGTAGCTGCATCTGGATTATGCAGAGACTTGCAGAATAAGTCTGAATAGGTGTAATATTTTCAAGTTCAAATTAAAATAAGAATATTTAAGAACATAAGAATGGGCTAGTCATGCAGCTTTTGTTCTAACAGTCTATACAAAAAGTAAACTTAACCTTGACTGCTACTGACTTCACAGACAAAGCCATGCACTTTTCTTGGCAATTGAATGGAAACTGATCGCCAATGAAGCCTTCAGGGATGTCTGTTCTATGGAGATTTTGGTGCTCTGAGCTTGCTCATAGACATTTCATTACCCAACTAGGTAACATCTAGCTGGGTAATGAAACATATTCAAGCAAACATCATGGTGCTGATGAAGTTACCTAGTTAGATAATGAAACATCTGCAAGCAAATAAAGAAGCTCAGAGAGCACCAAGAACTCCACAGTTCAGCCCTGAGCTATATAATATTCTCTTCTATTGTTTGTTCAATTCCCCAGTACAGCCCTAGTATTCCACGATAATCTCCCATTCAAATACTGACCAGATCTAACCCTGATTAGCTTCTGAGCCCAGAAAAGATCAGCCTGGTGCTTCCACCTGCTGAGGCCGTAGCCTATACAGCTGTACATATTTTGATTCTTTATACATGCTGCATATTCAATCCTTTCTCTGAAGTGTCATGAAGTTTCTCCACAGGACCATTCCATAGTTTGATGAGGAATCTAATTCTAATCAGTCTAGCCTCTAGCCCTGGCATTTCTTCCCCAATTGTGTCCTGGGCAGCAAGGAAAACAGAAGGATTAGAAGGCAAATCCATTTTCTAACAACTTTAATAATTTAATTGTAAATCTACTGCTTGTAATTTATGAGACGTGGAACAAAAATCAGCTGACTTGGATACTATGCCCACATTATAATTTAGCATGCTGAACTAACTGAGTGTATCTTAGGTTTCTGCTCTTCTCCTCCACCAATGAGAAAGAGTTTTAAAATGTTAGCTTTCATTAATTGCATCTGTCAAAAATAGGTCCCTTCCATTAAGAAACCGAAAAGTAGTTTCTACTTATTGTTGCATAGGATAACAGGGAAGGGTAGAATACACAAGCCAGCGTCTCATATGGATCATCAATATAGCGCTAAACAACTGATCTGTTTCTGAAAATGGTGGATGCTGGTACTTTATGTAAATTATGAAGCTATTTGCCATCACCCAATCAATATACATATATCATCATATTAGCCAGTATTAGCTGCTGGAGAAAGACACATAAAATGCTACATTTTCAAAGCATGTATAAAACATAGCAGCACTATGTAGCAGAGAGGAAATCATGCCACCAGAATAACCAATTTGTAGGGAATGCTTGCTGTTTCATCATAACTAGGTGGAAAGCAGTATACATGGTGGGTCCTGCCCTAACAGCTATAGATGTCTGAAGAGAGGGACAGGTTAATATAGACAGAGATGATTCTAAGATAGCCTATTTATCCATAGCTTGATGCAAGAATATTTTATTTATGTTGTTTTGGATGGCCCCTCCTGGGATTTTAATTGGACCATGGATGTTTTGTTTTATATTTTATGTAGGATGCTGGCAGTAATTTCATTGTAGTAGGTAGTAATTAGAGGTGAATATCCACACACGGTGCTAGGGATGGTTTGCTTAGTTTTAGCTTACTGTAAGCTGTAAACTTAGCCACAGTGCTTTGGGGCTGAGCATGTTATGTGAACCAGGTCACTAAGTTTTGCTTGACAAATTTTTGTTAAAATGAACCAGATGTGTGGATCCAATCAACTGGTAATATCAGATGATGACATTTGTTGCTTTGATTTGGATACTATAGGGCAAAGGGAAGCCTTCCATTCCAGAAGGGAACCACTGTTAATATTCTGCATACTGTAAGCACAATACATACTTACAAAATCTAATCTTTATTACTGATAAACAGCATGTTTTATTACCTGTACAGGACATATTGCACTTGGACATGTGGATCTTCACCAGATAAGCTAATTGACTCTGGAATAATAGATATCTCACTCTTGCTACTTTCTTCCCCAAGGAGTTCCACGGGCTGCTGACAGAAAACAAACCCATCTGACTCCGACTGAGCTTGATCAACTTCCTCTGTTATACCTTTAGTAAATGGAAGAGAATGTCAGTATACAATATCTTCAATTCTCAAGGCAACTAGAACTTATTAGAAGAAACGTTATCAGCTTAAACCTTCTGTAGGTGGTCCTTGCTTACCGACTGTAATTGGGATTGGGAACTCTGTCGCTAAGAGAGGCAGTCGTAAAGCCTGAAATCATGTGACCGTGCCGACTTACAATGGCAGTTATGGCAGTTTCAACTGCTGTTGTTAGGTGAATCCTACGTGGTTGCAGTGTCCCACGGTCACGTGATTGCCATTTGCGACCTCCTGCCAGCTTCTCCATTGACTCTGCTTGTCAGAAGCTGGCAGTAAACATGGGATGCTGCGATGTTTTAATTGCGAGCCAGTTGCCAAGTGTCTGAATTGCAACCATGTGACCGCAGGGACACTGTGACGGCCGCAACTATGAGGACTGGTCGTAAGTCCCCTTGTTCAGCATTGTCGTAACTTCAAACAGTCACTGAATGAGTAGCTGTTGAATGATGACTAACCGTATCTTGGTTTCCCCAAGACCTGAAAAATTGAGCTTGGGAGCCCCAGCCTTGATCTGGGTATTTTAAATATCATACTGACCTTCGTCAATGAGTGTTTCAGGTCCTACAGATTCACAGGTATGCTGTTCGCTCTTACCAGCCAAAGTTATTTTCTCCCCAGTTGGAAGCTTGAATACAAGGACTTCTAGTTCTGCTGTTACAGCAACATACCCTGCACAAAATGCAACCTCCACTGGGGTGAACTTGTCCATGTGCAAAATTAAGGAACGTTCAAAGTCCAGCACTTTCACATCCTCATTCACAACTAAATGCTTCAAGTGGAATAATATCAACTTATTTTTGCAGCCAACCAGTAGGTCTCCTGATAAAGGGCAACAGGAGAAACACGTGGGAGGATCAGAAAGAGGAATTTCTATGATTGACATTTGGTCTTTAGAAGTCTCAGTACAGAAAGCTTCTGGGTTATGACCCTGTATCCGCACCCAAACACGTGAGCTGCCAGAGGACATGCATCTCCAGTTTATGTAAACTCGTAAGAAGAGGGTGCTGCTCTTCTCCTCAAGGGTGGCCACATAATCTCCTGAAAAGCAAAAGTTGATTTGAAAAAAACAGGGCAAAAAAGTAAACGCCACAGTGAAACAAAGGAATGTGTATAATTAAACTATAATTTAATGTGAACAAAGTTTAACTCTTGAATTAGTTGGAAATTCCCTTAAAAGATCATGCCAAATAAATAACAGTGCCATAAGACTCTGCATATTGTATTTATCATAATGAATTAGGAGACTTAATGTTGCAATCCCCTGATTTACCACATGGGGATTATGTGACATTAGACTGGGAAAGACTTGCATTTTATGTGTCTTTTTGCAGTTGCAATTAACATCTATATTTGATTTAAATACTTCCAACAAGTAGCTGGTCAAAATTTAAGGAGCTTCTTTATTCATTACAGAGATTTAATCTTGCATTAACAGAAAAGTATTCAGTGTCACTCGAGTTTTCTTGAATTCGTAATCAGCACAGCCCACCTTGATTTCATATAAACAGGAATGCATCTGTACGCTCTCTCCCAACCAGCTGAGGCTACTGGAATTCAGAGAATTGTAGTCCAGCATGTCCAGAAGACACAGATTAGGGCAGGACGCTGAGGAGCTATCAGAGTTTAAAAAGCCTGTTTAATTATTTTATTGTTACGTGGTTCTTTAACTAGATCCTTATATTTATTGTGCTGTCTAAACCCAAAACAGCCATCAGTGCACTGATGATTCCTCACTCCATGCTGTATGACCTGACCCAGTGGCCTCACATAGATGTTTAACAGGCGAGAGAACTGAGCCTTGTGGGACCTCCCCTCCCCTATCAAAACTGATTGGAACCAGCCCCAGAGAAAGGAAGAAATTCAGCACAATACAGTACTGTCCACTCCCAGTCCCTGGAGCCTATCCAGAGGGATACCATGATGGAAAGCAGCCGAGACGTCGAGAAGAGTAAGGGTGGATGCACCACCCTCATCCTGCTCCATTCAGAGGTCACTGACAAGCGCAATCAACGCCATTTTGGTCTCATAACCAGGTCTGAATTCTGATTTAAAAGAGTCAGGACAATCTGTTTCCTCCAGGATTATTCAGAGTTGCTGCTTGACCACCTTCTCTACAATCTTTCCCGAAAAGGAAAGATTGAAAACTGGATGAAAATTGTCTGGTACTGTAAGGTCCAGCGATGGCTTGAGGAGAGGGCCACCTACTGCCTCTTTAAGAGACAGCAGGACAACCCCATCTCTCCAGGAAGGATTAACCATCGCCAGGACCCAACTACATGTCACCTCCAGGGAGGCCTTGGCCAAATGGTGTTCATGGGAACTAGTAATTGTAATTAAAAGATTTTCAGAGTTTAAATGTTTTCTACAAACTGAAAATGGTGGCTGTTGGATAATACAGTAAGTCTTAAATTCTGGTTAAAGAACTGCAATGTGGATAAAACAGTGACACACTCTAATCAGGCTTTTGGGCTTAGCTTATCATGCAAGCACAGCCAGAATCCATTTTGCATATGAATGTTGGTATATTAACATGCAAGGATATGGACAATTAAAAGCTATATGATGAAATACATGTGAATATATTTATAATTCTGATAAAAGGCATCCATTATTTTAAAATACATATAAGTTCTGCTTACAACAGGCACAAACGGTGGGGCTCTTTGCTAAGGAAGGGTAGGAATTTCTGTCCTAATTTACTTGCTGCTTGTGTTCCTTTAAACTTTTTCTGTGACACAATTAACTGACTAAAAATGGAAAAACAAATAATAGGTTGTAAAACAAATATTCTGGCAACCTAACTTAAAATATTCTGTCGGAGGCTCCTAAACATATTTAATCCCTAGTAACTGACCTTAGAACTGCAATCATCCTAATCTTTTTCTGTTCAAGGGCTCTGCACAGCAATTCTAAAGTATCTTTGATTTAGAAGTGCCACCAACATCAGTGGACTTAAATCATATACTCTTACGGTACCATAAAAGAATGTTTGTGAATTGCTAATAAACAAATATTTATATCTCCTAGAAAACTAGAATAAGAAGCCTAGAATTGCAAACCTCTTAAGAACAGTTAATAGGAAAACCCTAGATACCTATAGTTTAATTTCAGTGTAGGCAATTTGGGTGGCATTTCAGTGTGTTGACTGATTTTGTTTTGTTTTTTTTAACAGGGATTCTAATCAAAGTTTGACCACAGAACAGCGCTTCTCAACCATAGCAACTTTAAGATGTGTGGACTTCAACTCCCAGAATTCCCCAGCCTAGAATTCCCGGCTGGCTAGGGAATTCTGGGAGTTGAAGTCCACACATCTTAGAGTGGCCGTGGTTGAGAAACACTTCTAGCATCATCTTTGTTTCCAAGCCTGCCTCTGAACATCTAATGAGCCCCAGAAGCTCGTTTATAAGTGTCTCCGCCTTCCCGGAAAAAGTACCAAGGTAGGAAGGAGAATAAGAAGGGGTGGCAGTTAACACACTGGAAATCAGTGTAACGGGTTAGATGCCTTCTCGCTGGCCCTATTCTATAAAGGATCAAGGGCCCCGAGCAATCATTTCACAGGAGTGCCCACCAGGGCAAAACGTTCACGAAAAGTGAAAACGTTCCCAAAATTCCGACTGTGCCCACCGGGACAAAAAGCCTGGCTCCGCATGATGCATGAACCAGTCTTCGCTTAGGAGGGAAGCGTCCGCTCTTTCGAGAAGGCAGCACGTGCAGGGAACCGCCTGCGCTCCGTCCGACTCCGTTCTGGATCCCCAAGCCCCGTTCGCGCTTACCCACTTCGCCATACGCCATGCACAGCACTCGGCCCAGGGTACTGAAAGAGCCCAGCGGCTCGCCGAGTTCCGCAAACACTTCCATCTTGCAGGCGCCGGGGCCGCAGGCCACCAGCAGCACGTCGCGGCCGCAGCAGAAGAGCGCCGGTTCCTGCTTCAGAGGAACAACCTGCTGCGAGCCGAACGGGTGCAAGTTGTAGACCTGCACCATGGCTCCAGCTCGCCCAGGCTCCGGATCCGAACTCAGCCGCCTCCCGCGCAACTCTCGCCGCGATCGCTGCTGCAAGACTGCCGCTTCCGCAGAGGGCGCCGCCCCGCGCCGGTCAGCTGGAAGGAGGCGCCAGCAGAGCCCCGGGTCGCAGCGCCGCTTCCCAGAAGGGCAGCCCCCTGCTCGAAGCCATTTATAGCGGGGGCAGGGTTAAGGCTGCCGCTTGCAAAGGTCTGCCTCCTCCCCTGAAGGTAAAGCACCTTCTCAGTAGACTGGGGCAGGATTGCGCGCTATCCTCTCCACCAGAGAGAGGCGTTGCCAGCCCAATCTTGCTGTCTGCCCGGGGAAATCCCTTGCTGTCTGCCTGGTTCCTAAGGTTATTTTGCTTGGGGTCGGGACTGCGCTTATTTAACAGAGGAAAAGCACTTTAGACGTGCACAGAGGGCTCATATTCATGCACTCTGGAGGGATTCTTTAAATATCTATGGAACATGCATTTGCATAGAAGTCACTGTTCAGTGGGATCGTTGCATCCCATGAAGGGGACCCCACCGTCTCCTTGGGTAATCGATTCTACTGTCGTAATTAGGTTTTCATAAATTGCCCTGGAGCAATTCAACTCTTACAATTATTTTTAATCGCTGGGTAAGGAATGTCAGAACAACCATGGTAACACGAATAACCAGCTTCTTTTTCTAGAATTTGTCTACTTTCCTATTATATATATATATATATATATATATATATAT